ATTTTTTAAATATTTTTTTGCGCTTACTTATGTGGGTGGCAGACGAGTTTTGTTGTGGAATTTAGGTGGCAGACGATATTTTCTAAGCTTCTTAGGTTTCAACTGATACGTACAATAAGTTTCTATAATTTTTTTTCCTGTAACCCCCTGTCGCGGGGATGCGGTGGCAGAGGTTTATATTACTGTTGTACGTTACACTCATAACACATAAAAAAAAATGAAGCGGAAATGGTGTAATGAAATCTGTCGTTAATTCCCGGCCTATTGGTGGTAGTTAGTATTTGTATCGTCAAAAGGTGTAGGTTTTCTACCTAAATTTAATAGATTATTGAAAATATTCCGAAATTAAATAGAATAACAATAAGAACAATTAAGTTACATTTTAAACCCAAAATTAGGAAAGTGAATACAATACAGGGTGTAACTAAATAAGTGTAAAACATTTGAATGAAATGAAGTTTCTTTATATGAAAGATCCTATCTTTTTTTCGATGAGGAATCCCCCTCTTAAATGTTTTACACTTATTTAGATACACCCTGTATTATACGTATTGTTTATTGTATGCAAGTAGTGTCACCTGTGTAAAGTTAAGTGGCTCATTTAAAACAATAAATGTTTCAAACGATTGGAAATTATGCTCGAATGCTATGCTTATATTAACGCTTAGAATTGATTTTAACATATCTAAAATAGATTTTCCATAAAGTTAATGAAGATAATTTATATTCCTTTTGCATTAACCTTACGGTTTTATAAGTTAAATAAAATTTGTCCCAAGTGTAAAGCCAGATAATACGGTCACTTGCCAAATGTAAGCAAATATTGAGAATGCACACATATGTATAGATTTGCCGGAATACGAGTCCAGGCTCATAATAGTTCGGCCAGACATAATTTTACAACTAATATATTTAAATGAAAGTACAAACTATTTTATTAAAGAAAAATATTGGTAACAGAAACATAATGTTACTTTTATGGCCCTTTAGCAGTCTAGACCTCTTGCCAATAGAAACATTGTGGCATAAAATGAAGAAACAGTTGCGTCAACATCCAACCCTTTCAGTTAACGATCTATGCACCAAATTGCAAGAAACTTGGAACAGCACGTTGCCTGAAGAGTACGCTAAGCTGGTAGAATGCCTGCCAGAATTAAAGCTGTTATTCTTAATAAAGGTGATGAAGCGGCCAAACTATTCTGAACCGCGAATGTTTATGTTTATTAACAAACTAGTCATTGGCACATCATTACGTAGGAAAACTTAATCGTATTTAAGTTAAAAGTTTATACCTACTTTGTTTCCTTTACCAATATTTTTCTTTAATAGAATAGTTTTGAGTGTTATTACTTTTATTTAAATATATTAGTAGTCAAATTATACCTGGCCGAACTATTATGAACCTGGGCTCGTACACATATTTGTCAAACGTATACAAATACCGTATCGTGTGGATGGTGTAGATCGATACATTCGAAACTTTGATACACTTAAATATGAAATATCCGTCAAAACTACATATACAGAAATTAATTTGAATTATTCAATACAGGGTGTTTCTTAATAACGTGCTAATATTTAAGGAGGTTATTCTTGGGTCCATTTTAAGAAAAAAAACTTCATATGAACATACGTCCTAAAAGTCTTAACTTTTGAACTACAGGGTGCTAAAGTTTTATGAAAAATCATTTTTTTAATGATAACTTTGGTATTACCCTAGATATTTTTTTAAATTTGGTACACGCCTTCTATTCATCGAAATGCATTTTTTGATGTACAAACAATTTTATTATTTTTGCCAGTGGCGTCTGTACAGGTTTTGTATTGAATTTTTTTGAAGAAAAATATGTTACGCCAGGGTAATTTTCTTTTACCATTCCAAAATGTATGTAGATTACTGTAATTTCATAATTTCAACGTTTAAAAGTTATTATCTATACTCCTATATCTATACTATCTATACTATCTATACTATCTATACTATCTATACTATCTATACTAATATTATAAAGAGGAAATATTTGTATTTTTGTAGGTATGTATGTTTGTTACGAATAAACTCAAAAACTACTGGACGGATTTCGATAATTCTTTCACCATTAGAATGCTACATTATCCCTGAGTAACATAGGCTATATTTTTTATATCCCAAAATGTTTAAAATAAATGTCCATCCGTGCGAAACCGGGACGGGCCGCTAGTCTTAAATAAATTATTGTTCAAAGTTACATAAATCTTTTTTTTTCTCGTATGTGGTCCAATAAGATGCAAATGAATGAATTTTATTTTTTTTATGCGAAAACCGTACGTCAAACGAAAAAAGTTCAAGACACCACATTTGCTCAGAGAGGAATGAGAATTTCAAAAATGATTTTTACTTTAAGAAAAAGCAGTGGCGTAACATATTTTTCTTCAAAAATATTCAATACAAAACCTGTACAGACGCCACTGGCAAAAATAATAAAATTGTTTGTACATCAGAAAATGCATCTTGATGAATAGAAGGCGTGTACTAAATTTGAAAAAATATCTAGGGTAGGTAATACCAAAGTTATCATAAAAAAAAGTTTTTTCATAAAACTTTAGCACCCTGTAGTTCAAAAGTTAAGACCTTCAGGACATATGTTCATATGAAGTTTTTTTCTTAAAATGGACCCAAGAATAACCTCCTTAAGTATTAGCACGTTATTAAGAAACACCCTGTATACACAAGAAATTGGCATGCGAATAATCGGTAAGTATACACAATCATCCTCTGTATAAACTTTAGGGATGTTTAAGGAGATATACATTACTTACTTATTGTATATGATATAACTTGACGCTATTTTGAATTTCTGGTAAATGACGAATCATGTGGAGCCGGTTTAATGTGTTAGGGGTAACGCACATATTTAATTGTCTCTCCTCGTTGTTAATTAACTAACCTATTGGTGACATATTACGTTTACGCATTCTTTTAATCATCTTCCGTAAATCCACATAGATCCATCAAATCCTAAATATCGCTATAACTCCGAGGAAAATTTACGAGGAGTTTTTTAGGATACAAATGTACTCTTGGTTCATATTGGTAGAAAGTTTCATTTTTGTGTAAAATCCGTTTAAAAATAATGTTACCTGTGTAAATCGAAATTGTCAATATTTTTTATCGTCGCAGGTTTTGAATAACAAAAATGCGTTTGGCGTCATTTGCATTGAGAGTTTAGTTATTTACTTTTTGCGAATTGTTATGTCAAAAATGCAACATTTTACGAATGTAGAACTAGCAGTCACTCATAATTCCCATTTCTGGTCAGACGAAAACCACGGACAATGTGGCACACAAATTTTCAAAATAGATTTGCAATAAATGTGTGGACAGGAATTTTAAGAGACCAGCTATTTGGACAAATTCAGTTTCCCGTTTGAATGCAGAAGAATTCTCAAACTTTCTGCAAACTGATACACCGTTAAACCTACGCTTAACGTTACACTATCAACAAGATGGGACCCCGCCTCACTTTACCCATAATGTCATAAATTGGTAAACGATCATTTTCTTGACAGGTGGATACGTGGAAATGGGCCCATTCCATAGCCACCTCGATCTCTAGACCTAAATCCTCTAGATTACTTTCTGTAGGCTAGGATGAAGGTTGTAGTTTACGTTACAGAAATAAATCCTTTGGAAGAATTACAACAGAGGATTCATTTGGCTGCGGATCAAATCAGACAAAATAATTGTGAAGTTTTGAGGTCTTCGAGGGCAATTCGACGTCGAGCTGAAAAATGTATTCAGTAAAATGGAAATCTTTTTGAACATTTGCTATAAAAATTACTATTGAGATAAAGTTAAGTTTTATTAATAGTGTGGTTTTCATTTATTTTTATTAGTTTATTGTATTACTATTTAATAATAATCAATTGTTTTTTTTTTACTTTGTAAAATAATAATCATTTACAAAAAATAATAAATTTCTGTGAAAATAACTATTCGCAAAAAGTAAATAACTGAACTGTCAATGCAAATGACGCCAAATGCGATTCTGTTCTTCACAACCCGCTACTATAGAAAATATTGACAATTTCGATTCCCGGTGATTAACACATGTAACATTATTTTTAAACGGATTTTACACAAAAATTCTACCAATTTGGACCAAGAGTACCTTTTTTTTACTAAAAAACTCTGAAATCTCATACTTTTCAGTCAAAAGTAAAAAAAAAGTCAAAGCATAAAAAAGTTATGGCAAATTTTACCCACCTCCCCCTCAGTGTTGGAACGTATATGTCATGAAAAATCTGTAAATTTTGTTTTAGTAGCGGACTGATCACGTAAGAGTTAAGCTAGTTACCAAATTTCATAAATTTACCTCAACTTGTTTGGGAGTTATTTAGAAAAAAACATCATCAGAGTGGCCCCTTTAAGTGGCTATAACTTCCTTAGGAAGAATTTTTGGACCCACGTTTATATAAAGAAAAAGTAATCTTTTTCGACATAGAACACCTTGTAGAAATATTGCCCCCTAATTTCGGGACACCCTGTATACAGGGTAAGTATTCTATAAATTAGTCATTGGAACAAGACGGTCATTTGATTCTTTTAAATATGTGATAAATGAATTCTTGGAAAAAAAATTGTAGATTTTTTATTAATTTTGTATCACTTTTCCATGTCTTCAAGAATAAAGAAGTCGACCCTACTATTATCTGTTGACGATCTATACTATCTATACTATTGTATCACTTTTCCATGTCTTCAAGAATAAAGAAGTCGACCCTACTATTCTCTGTTGACGATCTTATATTCAAATAATTTTAAATTTTAATCTAAAACTTCACAAAACTTATTAGCTTTAGGATAATTTAGGATAAACTTTGTATACCTGTATAAAGGTATTCTTTGACCCCACTGAACCTTTTTTTTCTGTAAAAAAGTAAAATTTAACTTTACTCCTCATACTATATAAAAAATTCTCGATACAAACAAAAAGAACAGCCATAAAAATTCCACGTACCTCCTTCTGGTCCAAAGAGCTAACAACACGGTACTATTTCCTATAACCGTGACCAGAAATATGATGGCCAGCATGGCGATTTCCCCTCTTGCGAGGTTTTCATTGCGCCCCTTAGGGGAGTTTTCCACTCCCACAGCGAAATTCACTTCCAGATCCCTTGAAAAATTCTCCGTTGAAAAGTTCATGTTTTGGGTCTGTTCCGACAAACATGTGAGGAGGAAATCTTATTCTTCTCTGTAACAAAAAGAAAGTTCTGATTTGAAAATCAGGAAGTAATTTTACGGATAGTAGATTTTTACAGATATAAGAGAGTTAAATTCGATTTAAAATTATACGGAGCTGATCAATCAGGGATTACAATGCAGAGAACAATACGTAAGATAATAAGAAATATATTTTTGGGGTTGTTACACCAAAGAAGTAAATATTAGGTGCATAGTATTCGCTGGATAATTCTGCAACAAAGCAATGCATATCATTTATGATACCGATTTGTACTATGCATTTATTTCTTATTTATAGCAAGTTTTCTTGTTAAACACGTTGCAAATAAAAAATTGTTAATTTTTGTTTATTTTTTATCGGAAAATCTTCTCGGAATACAAGTACAATTTATTGAAATTCAAAATTAATTTTTCTTTATTATGATAATCCCATATTGGTGTCCGAAATATATGACAGTGAGTTGGCATAACCATAACCCGGAAAACCAATAACCCCGTCATCCCATAACCCTGTGTGTGACGTATAACCACGAAATTCTGAGGAATTGGGTCTGTAGTCTTGTTGTAAGTCCATAATCTCGTAACCCGGAACATGCAAGCTCCTATAGACCCATGATCTGGGACTCCCCCTCTAGAAAACGGTTTTAGAAATTTCAAACCGACTGGAGTGGTCAGTGATTAGAAACACATTGTAATTCATAGTCTCGCAGTACCATAACCCCATAGCACTATAAACCCATAACCCTAGACCCGTAATCTGTTATTCAATGATCACTGATTATACAGTTAAGGAAGCACCACTACGTTTTCCAGTTTTCTCATAGTACAAACACGCACAGACGGGTTTATTGGGTTATGGGGTTATGGAAACCTGCCAGCTCACAGTCATTTAGTCTCGGACCTCTGATGTATAAGATCCATGTTCCCTCAAGTTTTGTGATTACACATCCTCGATCACCACCTGTTAAGCTGTTATGGGTTCATGAGGATATAGGTTATGGGGTTAAGGAAGCTTGCCGATCTTCATCTAGTCATATAGTCCCGGACATCTGATGTATGATGATTACAGAGGGCTTTGAGGTTACAGAGTTATAAAGCTGATTATTGGGTAATGGTGCAATGACCTTCAATGCATCCAAACTGACAGAGAGCGACCTGCCATTTTACAGGAACTTTAAAAGCAAAACCTATGTTGCCACACATTGAGTAACAGTGACCATATACTTTCTTATATCATAAATTTCATTTATATCTAGTTAAGACATAAAAAGTAGTCGAATCATTCATCGGTTAGCGAAAATTCGAAACCGGTATATGTATGGTGATTTTGCTGACCAAATTTCCTAACTTTTATTAGCTACTGCAGGTATATTTTCCTGCAATATCGTCAGTAAAAAAAACAGTTTTAGAATATACGTGCTCTGCAAGGTACAAAAAACTGTACATACGTATGACTATGAAAATGAAATAATAATAATCAAGATGAAAACCCTTATACAAAATTTCTTATGTTGTATAGTTGGAGATAATTCAATTAAGTTTGACTTTTTTCTCTGCTACAATTAGTAATATATTCTTTCACTATAATTTTTACCAAATTTGAGGAATATTATATAAAAAATTGACGTTACAAATTCACATGCTACTAACGTAATAGTACACAACACTTTAGTGTTATGATCCAAACAATTTTGTTCGATTGCTTGCACAGATGGTCCAGAAAAAATGCGGAAGTTTCATTCTCTGCGACAAGGATATTTCTGGCTGTTTGAATCCTATTTCGTAAAGAATCCTTTATGTATCCCACTACTGCATATTTGTATCCTTCCTGGCGTTTTACGTTCGTTATTTTTGCTCCATAGGCAGTGAACAAACAGACAAACTCTGAAATAACCTTTGCAGATGACATATAATATTTTTTTCCTTTTAGTTTTATACAAAAATAAAACATTCGAGTGTGGATCCATATGTAATGATGGACAAAATGTAAATTTTTTTATAAATAACACCAAATTGTGTTTATTTAAGGACATATAACAAAGAAAAATCTAGGATGATACCTACTATTTTTAATATTTCCATTGGTGCGCATTTAGACTGGTGATTTTGGATGATCAGCTTCCAATCATCCAAAGTGAATTCGTTGAGAACTCATTATAGTTTACAGTCTGCATTGAAAGTACTTTTTTTAAGACGGCGTGCAGGTTATAGATCAATATTCAACTAATTTACAATTCTTTTGCTTTGTTAATCCTAATAGTTTTCCAATTAACAACCATTAGTATTTATAACAATTCTCTTAGAAAAAGAGGAGTCACAAAGCACAGATTTAAAACGATGCTACATTTAGTTCTTGCAGTAAATGAAGCTTCATCCGCTGCGAATTCATTTCGGATGAATAAAAGATAGAAGAGATTCTACTTGCAATCATTATTCGTCCCAAATGATTCGCCCCTTCGATGATTATTCAAACTCACTCGTGCAAATGCGCCTCCACTGAGTTTATCATAAATGGTTTAAAGAAATTACTGCAGATATACGTATTGCATACATTTAATCGCCACTTATACAAGGTGTCTCATTTTAAATAACGCGTTGCAACATCTTAGAGAATCACTTGTCTTGATTGGCCGAGTCGTAGAGATCTTGCCTTAAGTAAATGTGACTGCAAATAGGGTTCTCCTATTTCGTAACTTGATTTAACTTTCAAAGAACCTTCAGGTTTGACTTCTAGATCATGGTCAAGGTCACCATCGTATGATATCAGCAAACCATAAAACTTTCAACCGGAATCCTTCGTCGTTTCCCAAAGAATATTGCAAAATCTTATTCAAAACATTATTTGGCCCTAAAATAATCTGTTAAGGTCACTTTGACCCATAACATAAAGACATGACTGAACGTAAAATTTTCCGCTCTGTTCAATTATCATATACAACTATGCAGGTTTCGGCTGCATGCAGAATTTTGTTTTTAGTTTAGACAGCAAGTGGAACAACAACCAAATTATACAAACACAATACCCTTCAAAGACGAATACTACTTTATAAGATACGGATACGTGATACCAATTCTGACATTGCGCAAAATTAAACAATTTTCCAGCAGCAATTTTCAGTGACTGTGTGAAATGGAGTTTTCAATGGTAACTTATCTGTTATCTCCTTACGCGTATTTAGATTTTCTGATAAACATCCTTCCTGATTCATTAGATGAGGCTTCTTTATATATGAGTGTGTAAGCATGATTGGTGCTCCTTTGCAGTGGATAAGTGAATTGACCAACGCGAAGTCTCGACATGAACCCCCTAGATTTTTTCTTTCGAGAATGTATTTTTTCTGCAGCCGATGAAATAAAACAAATGCCTGGTGTAATGGCACGCATACGAAAAGCATTCTTACTAGATTGTGGAAATATTTCAAACAAATTTTGTAGAATTACCTAATATCGATTTATGGTAAGTACCTAGTTTATTTCTATTATTGTTTAATTAGCCCCTAAAAAAGTGTATTAAAGTAAACACCTCGACTGGTAGAAACATTGTGAGGCGACGCGACGTCTTTAAAATCGCTACGTGCACTATACACAGCAGGGTCGGTTTCAAATATTTTCTGTCTTTTTTTATTCGCCAATTTTTTTATATCGAAAATATGTCACATTAGACAACGGTTGCTTCATTGAAGTTGTTTATTTTCGCACCCTCCGTTACTTCTACAGTAGGAAGCGACCTGCTATATTGCCAGGTACTTTGTTGCACGACTGCCACTCACAGAGGGCGAAACACAATATTTTAATTGCCAGTGTTGCGTGAAACAATTACTCCGCGGGCTATATGCCCCGATCGGCATTGAATTGGTGGGTTAAACTGACGAACGATCCTAGCTGTTGCACTAGGTGTTGCGAGTATAATTCAATGCCGGTCGAGGCATATAGCCCGCGGAGTAGTTGTTTCTCGCAACACTGGCAATTAAAACGTACTTTAAAGAAGCTTTAAACGTTATTGAAACCTTTGCATTTTCACTCCTCTCATCTCAGCACTGATAATGTCGTGGTTTTTATTAAAAATAAAATCCACAACCATTAACAAACCTACTTCTGGCAAATTAGAAGAATCTGCTTTTACGAAATTTGCTTCCTTTTTTAAATTTAATATGCACAAACGTTCAAACATTCTGTATATGTAGAAGCTCATCTAGAAGTAGCGCCAAGCCTGCTGACCGTCCCATGCGGTGACGTCACTGCATTGCCACGGCTGAGACAAATAATTGCATTTTAAAAATCGTATTGTTTGAAAACCGCTCAATGGATTGACTTGAAATTTTCAGGATCGCCTAATCATGAGCAATACTTCGTGTATACATTATATTTTTTCGTGTCTCTTGTGAAAATATGTTAGTTTATCATGTTTTAAGAGCCCCCTCAAAAAATCAGCTCAAAAAAAAAAATTTATAGAGGTCGCTCAAGATTTTGAAAAATTTCCAAAATCGTCAAATTTTTTTTTTATTTTTTTCTCGTTATTTTATAATTTTCTAGGTTGAAAAAAAAACTCGATTCTAAAAATTTCACATCGATATTTTAATTTCTAAAGGTCACTCATAATTATTTTAACTTTCAAAGTAGTGTAGGTACCTATGTCTTCGAGCGACCTCTAAAAATAAATATCAACGTACTAATAATTTTTTTATTGAATTTGATGAACAAAAGAATAGAAATAAATCACGAGACACTTAAATTTTAAAAAATTAAAAAATATAAATATGTATTTGATACTCACAGTGCGGTACTAAATTTTGTCTCGAGAAATTTTTTAAGTATCTCGTGATTTATTTCTATTCTTTTGTTCATCAAATTCAATAAAAAAAATTATTAGTTCGTTAATATTTATTTTTAGAGGTCTCTCGAAAACATCTTAGGTACACTACTTTTAAAGTTAAAATAATTATGAGTGACCTTTTGAAATCAAAATATCGATTTG